GATAGCCTCTAGGACCTGAGGGTGGCCTTCAACTGATAGCTGTTAAGAAGCTGGACCCTCAGACATACAGCCACAAGGAAATGACTTCTGCCAACGACCCAGATGAGCTTGGAAATAGATGTTTCCCTGGCCAAGCCTTCAGATGAGAACACAGCTAAGCGTACGCTTCGACTGCAGCCTCATGAGACCCCGAGCAGAGGATCCAACTAAGCTATGCCTGGGCTTCTGACCCATGGAAAGAGGTAGATAATTAATGGCTAAGTTTGTGGTAATTTGTTCCAGAGTAATAGATAACTAATATACAGAGAGAGAGGGAACCCAGAGATGGCTGAAGGGCTTACACTCCTCAATATAATCCGTCCCTGTGATCTTGACTCCCAGCTGTCAGTGAAATTGCTAAATTTGTGTGCTGTTTGAAGCAAGGGATCTGCGTGTGAACGGAAGACTGGCAAAGGCTGTCTGTCCCCTGACTAGTTGCAGGAATGTGAGGGCAGAGGAAAGCAAGAGGCACTAAGAATTCCTGGAGGGTGAGGTGACGGCGACAGCCATGGCACACGGACTGGCTCTGGGCAAGGGCAACACGTGTGTGTCACGTGGACGTGCGTGGTACCTAGTCCGTGCGCCTGCGAAGGCTGCCCCGAACACGGGCGTGCAGGTCTGTATCCGTGTTCCCAAGTGTGCCTGAGCCCAGAGAGGCTTCCCAGAGGAAGTGACGAGTAAGCAGTGGGTGGAAGAGGTCACCCAAAGGGGTTGCCTGCAGACAGCAGAACCGAGGTGGAGGGTTTCATGAAACATCTCTGGGCCTTGGAGAAACCTGGTGAAGCTCTCATGAGTCAGAAAAAAACAGGCGACATTCATCATATATCAGGAGCTTTGCTGGGTGCTCCAAGGACATTATCTTATTTCATTCTCAGAAGGGAGGTGGGTGTTTTTCCCATTTTATAGGGAAGGTCACTAAGGTTCAGAAGCTGAGAGACTTGATTAGGTTCACACCTCCATTGCATGACTCCAAAGCCCCAGCTCCTCCCCTGGAGTCTCCTGCAGATTCTCAGCCAAGCCGGCTAGTACCTAGGGCTCCCCACCCTCACTGAATCATGAAGCTACAACTGGCCAACGGGAGGATGCACTCAGCTGAGGGGGCTCAGGCTAGGTGCTGGCTTGGAGTGGATTCTAGAGAAAAGAGGCCCAAGAGCGGGAAGATGCAGGACTATGGACTGAGGGGTTTTTTTGTTTTGCTTAACCATTCAAACACTTGTGGAACTTTTAAACCTTCCCCTACTTGGGCCCCTTTGGCAGTTCTGGTTTAGTAAGCCCAGTGTGAAGCCTGACATCTGAGTGGTCAAAGCAGCTCTGGTGATTTTGCTCCATCCTAAGTGATGACCCCCCCACACCAGTGTGGCTGCCCCTTGAGGACAGGGATCACCAGCCCTGAACTGGCCAGGAGCAAGAGCTCAGGGGACTGTGGGCGCCTGATGGATGGATGGATTACAGACCAGTTGAAGCCAAAAGAAGATGTGTTCAGGGATGCAGGGTTTGGGGCTCAGAAATGTGTCATTTTCCCCCCGAGAACGTTTAATTCTCCCTGAGTAGGAAACTGAAAGCACTTCCATTTTTCAGTGGTACAGCCGCTCTGCACCAGCCCAAACTGTATAATAAACAAAGGAAATGTGTGAACACACACTGGCTTTTCTCAAGTTAATACAACATTCCGTTCCCAGCGCAGAGAACGCACTTTCGTCTAGTGGAGAAAGACTGGGCCTCTGAGAGCCAGGATTCGGAGAGGTGGACAGGCCCTTAGTCACTAGGTAAGCTGGGTAAACCAAGGCCCAGAGTGCGGGTGCCTTACCTAAGATCACATGATAATTTGTGGAGGAAGCAGGTCGGGGACCCAGGCCTCTGACTCTGACTACAGGGTTTTTTTTTTTTTTTAAGTAGTTTCCATACCCAGGGTGCCTGGATGGCTCAGTTGGTTAAGCGACTGCCTTCGGCTCAGGTCATGATCCCAGAGTCCTGGGATCGAGTCCCACATCGGGCTCTCAGCTCAGTGGGGAGCCTGCTTCTCCCTCTGACCCTCTCCCCTCTCATGCTGTTTCTCTCTCTCTCTCTCTCTCTCAAATAAATAAATAAAATCTAAAAAAAAAAAAAAAAGTAGTGTCTACATACAGTGTGGAGCCCACCGTGGGGCTTGAACCCACGACCCCGGGATCAAGACCTGAGCTAAGATCAAGAGTCAGACGCTCAACCGACTGAGGCACCCAGGCACCCCTGACTCTAGGACTTTTTAAAAGTTAAATGACTTGCCCAAGGTCACACAGCCAGGCAATGGCAGGGCCAGGGCAGGACCCCAGGTCTGTGTGACTCCAGGTCCATGCAAGGGCCTGGCCTCTGCCCCTGAGGTGTTTGGATTCTGAATAAGAGGCGACGCCCGGGGAAGTAAGGATGGTTAGAAGTCCAGGTCGGGAAAGCTGCCTGACAGGAGTCCCATGCTTTATATCATAAGGAGAAGAAAAAAAAAAAGTCCTGTGCTTCCTCCGCCAACATACTTGTTTAGCTGTCCTGTAACCTTGTGTTTTCTCGTCTGTCTCCCTCACAGCCTGTGAGCTCCTCGGGGCCTGACCCTCAGGCGTCTCTGTATCTGCAGCGCGCATGACAGGGCCAGGTGCCCTGAGAGCACAGGGCATGATTGTTGGGCTCCTTCGCTAACTCACCTGACAGGCATTAAGGAGTACCTACTGTGTGCCAGGCACTTGGCTAGGTGGAGAGTGGAACCTCCGCAGAATAGTATCTCTGCCTTTACCGCATTTGCGGTCCTATGGGAGTTAAAGAAACAAGGGGCCAAGTGAGTCCAAACAGGATGACAACGTATGGTCAGTGCTGAGCAGGGAAAGGAGCAGGGCTTGGTGAGGCAGAGCGAAGCTGGTGCTGAGGGGAGAGGGGAGGGACGGGTGAGGCGGGCCGTTCTAAGGCAGTGATGTGCAGGTGGAGATCTAAAGGAAGAGGAGGAGGAAGAGATGTAGAGTGCGGGGAAGCGTGTTGCAGGCAAAAGGAACAGCCTGTGTGGAGACCCTGAGATGGGGCAGGGTTGGTCTGGTCTATAAGGCCTGTGGGACTGGAGTGAGTGGGGCCTTGAAGTGGGGTGCAGGTAGGGGAGGATCAGGCAGGGCCTCCGAGATCAGGGGAAGGGTGGAAGGGTTTGTTTGAAATGCTGAGGCAGCCATGGGTGGGTTTTAGGTTAATGGATAGCAAGCCCAGATCGCTTTTCAGGAGGTGGTTCTGACCACAAGGTGGAGAACGGGTGGGAGGGGAACAGGAACAGAAGCAAGGAGGCCAGTGAGGGGACCATGGAGTCTGGACCTGGGTCGGCAGGGGGGAAGCTGGGTTGGGTTTGGGAGGAAGAACTGGCCGCAGTCACTGATGGACTGGCTGACGGTGGGAGTGGGAAGGGAATAATTAGCAAGGGGGCTTGAAGAACTGGGTGGATGGAGCCGCCATTTATGGACCAGCAGAAATAAGGGGAAGGAACTGGTTTGTGGGGTAAAATCTCAAGCTGTTGCACTGAATTTGAGACACGTGTTAAGCATCCAGGGGAGATGTCGAATAGGTAGTTTGAGTGTGGGGGTCAGACGAGAGGCCTGGGAGTACTTGGGAGTGCCGGGCTTGCAGGTGGTACATCAAAGCCACGAGGATGGACGAGAGAAGTCCTGAGAAGTAGAGGAAGAGAGACTGGGACAGAGGGACAGAGAACAGGCAACAGCTCTGAGGAGGAATTCAAGAGGGAAAGGGGGATCAGCTGCTCTGTCAAGTGCATCAGCTGCTATGGAGAGAGAGGTCACGGAGAGCAGGAACTGAGTGTTCTTTGGATTTAGCAACATGCAAGCTACTGGTGACTTTCACTGATTCACTGACTCAGTGAATGACTCAAAAGATGCATAAAGAGGAGACAACTAGAGTGGGTTGAGGAGTCAGGGAAAGATTTTGGAGGGAGGGAGGCAGCGTTTCAGCAAGATCCTTGGGGGGCTGAGTCCTGAGAGACCTAAATGCTACCTGCAGGAAGCTGAACTGGGGGTGGGGGGCAGAGGGTACCATTCACTGGCCTCCCTGCCCTGGAGGGAAGGGGGGGAGGAGCTGAGGCTGGGGAAGCTGATGGCCCTGCCCCAGGGGACAGAGCCACTACCCCCCACCAACATACACACAGGACTCAGAGGTGTGTCCATGTCCCTCCCTGCACAGAAGTCCTGGGAGGTGAGGATTCCAAACCCACAGCCTCAGAGCAAAGAAGGCTCTCAGATACCACCTGGAGGGGCCAGCTCATTACACAGAGAGGGGCAGGGGCTGGCTGTAGGTCACCCAGCATGTCAGTGGTAGGGGACAGGTATCTCCAGTGATTTCCAGTGGCCCTCCCCCAGTGAGTAAGTGTGAATTCTTTAGCCGGGCATACAAGGTCTTTCATGCTTGAGCAAGAACCCAGCTCCTCCCAAACATCTAGCGCATGCAAATACGTATAGCCTCGGGCAGTCCTTGCAACAATCCTTTATTGTAGGTGTTATTATTCTCATTTTGCAGATGAGGAAGCTGAAGCTCAGAGGAGTCTGGGCGCCTGTCCAAGGTTGCACAGATGAGCCAGGATATCATCTCATGAGTATCTCCAAAGTTGTCTTTTCCTCATGCCCCGCAGCATTCACCATAAAGAGCCTCTCCTCTGGGAAGCCATCCCTGACCTCCCTGGCCCTGAGTTACCTGGGAGTCAGGTCACGTCCCCTGACACCAAATCACTTGTTCAAGTCACGAAAAAGTCCCTTGAATGGGCTGGAAATCAGTGGTGCCACTGAAGCCCAAGGCTCCAGCAGCCTGTGCCACAACCCAGTGACCACAGAGACCCCATGGCATGCTATTCCCCAGGCCTGTGGCCACAGGCCAGCTGTCCACAGCAGGAGTGTAGCACCTACCGAATTCGTACAGAACCCCCTCCCCTCCCAGCCAAACATGTGCCCCTCCCTCACCTGGAGACCACCAGTGGTAGGATCAGCATCTTCAACATCCTCATCAAGAGCTCCCCAGGAAACTGGAAGTAATTAATTTCCTGAAAATACAGCAAGAGCGGGGATTATAGCAGGCGGTACCGACTTGACAGTTGTTCACAGCCTTCAAACACCGTTCCACCCGCACGCTCCTGTGTACCACGCGGACGGCAGAGGCCACGGAGGAAGCACTGGCTTTGGAGCCAAACAGACTTGGGTTCTAATCTTGGCACCCCCGGAACTAGCTCTGTGGCCATCATCCAAGTTTAAGTTTTTGTACTTGCAACCATCTTTCTCTTCCTCCCTTCCTCCCTTCCTCCCTTCCTCCCTTCCTTCCTTCCTTCCTTCTTTCCACCAAAGCTAAGCACTTGGTTAATGGTCTGATACTTTGAAAAGCCCCAACTCATAGAATTTTGGTGCTGAGAAGGGGTTTTAAAGATCTTCTAGTCCAGCTGAGCCAAGAGATGGAGAGGACTTAGCAGTGACAGTGCAGGATCAGAAATCAGGCCCCCTTGTCCTGTTCTACTATCATTTCCAATGCTCTAGAAAATCTTTATGAAATAAGGGTGAATGGGAGAGAAACTTAGTCCTTACATGAGCAAAAATGCCTTTATCCTACCCTTACCTCAGATATTAGTCTGGCCATATATAAGATTCTTAGTTTGAAAGAATTTTCCCTCTAAATTTTCAAAGGCATTTCCCTTTGTCTTCTAGATTCTGGTGTTGCTTATGATGTTTGGAGCCATTCTTCCTATTCCTTGGTGGAGACTTGTTTTATTCCCTCAGAACCATTTAAGGATTTTCTGTTAATTTCCAGTTTTCTGTAATTTTCATGGTGATGTACCATGGCATGAGAGTTTCTTCTTTCTTTTTTTTTAAATTCATAGTGCTGTGCATATTTTTCACTTCTGAGAAAATTTCTTACATGCCCTCTGAAAATTTTCTCCCCATTTTTTCTGTTAGCTCTCTCGAAAACTCTCTTATTAGAGAGTTGGATGTTGGACACCTCTAATTTTCTTCTATTTTCATCTTGTTTTGTTTTACTTTCTGGGAGATTTCTGCAACTTTATCCTAGCTATTGACATGTTTATCTTGCCTCGTCGATTTTTAATTTCCAAAAATTCTTTCTTTTTTTTAAGATTTTATTTATTTTTTGGCAGAGAGAGAGACAGCGAGAGAGGGAACACAAGCAGGGGGAGTGGGAGAGGGAGAAGCAGGCTTCCCGTGGAGCAAGGAGCCCGATGCAGGGCTTGATCCCAGGACCCTGGGACCATGACCTGAGCCGAAGGCAGACACTTAACGACTGAGCCACCCAGGTGCCCCGCAAAAATTCTTTCTTGTTCTCGGATTGTTCCTTCTTTTTGCACCCTGTTCTGTCTTACAGTCACTGTATCTTCTCTCACATCTCCGAAGAACTTAAGACAAGATTTAAACAATTTTCTTCTAATTCCTACTTTGTCTCTGCTTCATTAGAGACCCTTTTCCGTTTGTTTAGTCCCTGTCTCTGTTAGAAGCTTTGACTCTGGCTTTCTGCTCGGATGTAAGTGTGAGGCCCTGAACTTGTGTGTGCGCGCGAGTGGAACTTGTCAGGTGATGGCTCCTCAAGGAAGGTGATGGGTGACAGTCTGACTTGTTTACTCTGGATAGAATGGGATGGGGGAAGAATCACCTTTATAGCAGGATTTGGAGATCTTTTCTCTGAGGCTCGTGAGAAGTCTCTTCTCACCTCCGACTAGGGGGTGAGGATGTGCCTAAGCCCAGCTGAGAGCAGTCTTACGGGGATCCCACACTCGAAGGCAAATGTCCACTCATTTGTGGGATGCATGTGCCTCATCACCTCCCCTCCCCCAGTACACACAGGTGGACCGAATTTCCCGAAGTCAAACTTCTCTGTGAGGCACAGGCAGGGCGGTAGAGATGGGCGGATGAGGAGTCCCCTGATTACAGGAACTGGAAGGGACTGACAGCCTAAGTGCCCCAGTTACAAAATTCCAACCAATGTCTCTGATTTCACCTCCTTGCTTCACCTGGCCTCCTGCAGCTCTGTGCACTTTCAAGTGCAGAACCTTTCTGGAGTTCTCCGAGCCAAACTGACATGGCATCTACCTCTATAGACACAGGGTTTAGCTTTCTGTGCTCTGCTGAGTGAGATCATTCAACTCTATCCTCTTCCCATCTTTGCCTAATTTATGGTACTCCCTCAACTTCTTTTCTCAATTGTCTCCTTTTATATTCTCTTGGGAGTCTAGATCTTTAAAAAATTCCATTACTATAGTTTCAGTGGAATTCCAAGAAGGAAAGGAAAATGGATGCAATTGTAAATTCACTATGGTTTAACTGAAGCTCTCAAAATGATCTCTATTTTTATTTATTTGTTTGTTTTTAGAGAGGGAGAGAGAGCATACACACATGTGCGCGGCAGGGGGAGGGGCAGGGGGAGAGGGAAAGAGAGAATCCCAAGCAGGCTCCACGACCAGTGCATAGCCCCACATGGGGCTCGATCTTAGAACCCCAAGATTATGACCTGAGCCGAAATCAAGAGTTGGACGCTTGAGCCACCCAGGGACCCTTCAAAATGATCTGTGTTTTTACATGAGATACTATTTCCAAAGATAAAATCTGCGATCTTGAAAGTTCTTTTCACAAGGAGGACATGCTTCCATTTTGCAAATTGTTTACAACTTGTGCCTGTTGCATAAGCTTACAAAATAAGGAGGGTTTAATTTCTGAGTCACAGGCAGAGATCATAGAAACAACCCCTGGATTTCAAAGTAAGATGCTGAGAAAGCCAATTCCTGCCAAATCACTGATCAGACTCCACATCCTTTCTTCGGTTTATCTGGCAGGTTAATCCAGACCAGAACACATTTGCATTTCCAAGCAGATGGGGCAGGCAGCTTTGGCAAAGGAGGCCCCAGATGAGCTTGGCTTTCAATAATAAGGATTCCAATTTGTTTTCACAAAATAATCTTCCGGCAGGAAATATATTTTTTGTTGCTCAGGGAAATTAAAGAAAGATTGCAGATTGTGCCGTTGCCCATTTAATTCAGCAAAGAGGCGAGGGTTCTCTCTGTGACAAGCCCTGAGCTAGACTCACATTTTGGCTCATGAAAGCCCATGTGATGTTCAGCAAGTCAAAATCTGCTGGGAGCTCCAGACACCTGCACAAAAGCCTCAGAAGCAGGACAGTCGGCAGCTGGCTACAGGGGAAGGCTGAGCGTGGGGTGAGCGGGGGAGCAGAGGATTATTTCAAGTGGGGGCAGGTCTGGAAGAATTTTTGTAAGATATGGAATATGAGATGGCTCTCGACACAGTTAGGACTTGGACGGGCAGATGAGGGAGGGAGGAGTGAAGTACCAGCCACTCAGCGCCACTGTATGCCAGGGACTGATGAGTCCTTGTTTATTCTCACGACAGTTCTAATAGACATATAGTGCCCCCCACTCCAGATAAGGAAAACGAGGTCCAGAGAGGAGATAGGATTTTGCCAAGGGCCACACAGCCGTTTCCGAGTAGAGTCAAAGTTCAAGGTTCTGCTGCCTCCAGAGTCCAAGTCTCTCCCTTAATGGCTGAGAGTGGCTTAACAGTGTTACCCTTGTAATAGGGGCTCAGTTCTCAGGGAGGGGGTGTTTCCCTTTTCATGGAAGATGAAATATGATGCTTGAGCCCCAGGTGTAGATCATATTAGGTGTTGGTGAGCTGCAGGAAGAGGACTTTTGTGAAATAGGGGATCTTCCAGGAGCCCATTGACAAAGACTCTCCTCGAACAAACATGAGACTAGCTAATCGGGGCTCTCTTTTTGGCCAGGCCTCATCCTTGGGCCTTGCTTCAGCCTGCCTGGCCCAATTATAGCAAAAATCCTGCCACGTCAGGTTAGTGAGAATGCCCCCTCTCTACCTTCAGCAAGAATCCCTCTACCCTCCACGTCTCCTCTTAGCAATGTTCTCTCAGTTGGCCCCCTCACTGTGTTCATTGTCTCTAAGTCCCCAGCTGTCTTCGTTGTGTTCGGACATGAGCCTGATCTCTCTCCCCTGTTCCCGTGGTCTTGACACCTATCCCAGTAGTCCTGAACAAAGTCTCCCTTACTGTTTTAACAAGGGTCAGAATCATGTTTTCTCCAGTGCTGTGGGAGTGTCCCTCCCTGTCCTGTGGGAGATGGGTGCTGAGAGGGACAGGGGCCCTTGCTCAGGCAAGGCATTGCCACCCTTGTAGTTACACAGGCCAGAACCCCAGGGGCCGGCCCTGCTTCCCAGCCCTGCACCCAATCCGCCACCGTGTCCAGAGGGTTCCTTTTCTGGAAACAGTTCTCACATGGGCCCTGTTCATCCTGCTGTCAGGTCTCACCCCTGTCACCACCTCCTCACCTGGTCCCCTGCCTGTCCCACCACTCCCTCATCCTGCACTCAGCACCAGAGTGATCTCTCCGAGTTGAGATCTGACCATTTCGCTCCCCTGCCCAAAGCGGCTCGCGGCGGTGCGAGGCCCCCGAGGGCCCCTGGGGCTCCAGCCCCTGCCTCACGGGCTACATCCCAGCTGCTGTGAACAGTCTGCTCCACACACGCCCAAGTATTTTATGGCCCTGGGTCTTGCTCCAGCTGTTACCTCTGCCCGGAATACCATTCCTGGGTCTTTTGTCATCTGAGCTGCTCTGGGAGGTGTTCTCTGATGCCTGAGCCCCTTCTTCCTGCCCCTGTCCTCTTCACCTTGTGCTTGTTCTAATGAGATGCCCTGGCCTCTCGCTCACCTGGTGATGCCATCTGTAACCACTTCCTCTGCCATTTTACTGGCTGTCACTCTAGTTCTGCAGGGTTTCATCACACCCATGCTACAGATGAGAAGACTGAAACCCAGAGAGGCCAAGTGACTCCCCCACTATCATGTCACCAGGGAGCCATGGAGTGGGATAGATTCCCAGATCCCTCAGGCCCACATACCCCTCGTCGACGGGGACCCCCGAGAAGCTCTGGGTGGCTGACCTGTGGTGAGAGGCGACGGGTCCTCAGGAAGAAGCCGAGAAGGCAGCCCACGGTGACAGACAACACAGACAGGATGAGCAGTCCATTTCGCTTGCACACATCCTTCCCTCGTGCCAGGATGGCACCTGGCACCATGGTGAGCCCAGCCTGCCGGCACGGGGCACAGCACCATTCCATGCACGTGAGGCCAGCTGAGGGCACAGGGTCCCAGCCAGGGGGTCTGGCTGCTCAGCAGGCAGGTGGGCACATGGCCTGCATGGCTGCCCCAGAGGGAAGCCACAATCCTATTACCAGCTGCATCATTAGGAGCCAGAAACAGATTAGGGCCTGGGAAATTAGAGCAGGCCATGTGGTCTGGGGATTTGGACCTCAAAGCCAAGTGCACCTCTCAAACAGGGGAGGGGCCCAGAGACTTGCTTGGTTGGTTTGATTTTTACCCCCGCTTTATTCCAGAAAGAACTGTGGCAAAGCAATAAGATACTAGCAGTCACTAACATAAATTAAGCATTTACTGTGTACCAGGTGCTGTTCTAGAAGCACATTACTTACTTGCATCAAGGCATTTAATCCTAATATCAATTCTGACAAGTGAGTACTATGAGTATCATTTTACAGATGAGGAAACTGAGGCAAGGGGTATGCGCTGTGTGCCAGGCCTGTTCACCTGCTTGACCTGTGTGAGTCATAGGGGTCATCCCGACAACCCTAAAATTCCAACATTCATTTTACTGAAAGGGAGATTGAGACCCCAGGAGTCAGAGCCCCTTGGTCATGGTCACGGAGCTCACAGTAGTGGAGTGGAATTCAGGCCTGTGTTGGTTTGATTGGTACCCCAGGAGCAGAGAGATGGCTTCGAAAGTGCTTAGCAGTATTGTGGGGCATGTAGGATCTGAGTCCAGTGGAGCTGGGTTCAGACTTGGGGCCTGCCATTCACTGTGACGTGTATCCCTCATGGTTGCTTCAAGCCTGAAGCTGGGAACCCTGTAGGCTCTCAGGGCCTATTATTTTTAAAAATGACACAACCAAGGGACTGTTCAAGTCCCTGCTCTGCCACTGACCAGCTGCGTGACGCTGGGCAAGCCACATAAGCACGCAGTGCCTCAGTTTCCCATCCATAAGACAAACATAATAATAGCGTCTACTTTGTTGGGGCTGGTGCAGGATCCCATCCTGAGATTATTTGTGAAAGCAGTGCTGGACCGCATCAGGCCCAACAGGGAAAGGACTGTGAGGATCATCATCCGCATTTAGCAATTTTTTGAGAAAGGTTTTCTTTTTGCTCTTTCTTGTGGCCTGGCCTGCCCTTTAAAGCTAGAGGGAATTAACTCTAGTCTGTTTCCCTGGGAGTCTGTAATCTCCTTAGGGGCAGTCAGGCGGCAGCAGGGAGCGCAGTCTGTGGTAGGGGGGTTGTGCACGGTGACTGCCTTCCCTGACATAGGGGAGAAGGAGGAAGATGGAGAGGATGGGGCCAAGGAACTGCCGGTCCAGGCAGAGGGCGCTGGGGTGCAGGCCCTAAGCTATGCGCAGAGCTCCCGACTGGGCGGGGACCCTTTGGTGTTGGTCCCAACTTAACCAGCTCTGTGACCTCGCCTTCTCTGGACCTCAGTCTTGCCCTTCATCGAATGAGAGAAGGGGAGGTGGGGTCTGGCTGGCTCAGGTAGTAGAGCATGTGACTCTTGATCTCAGGGTTGTGAGTTTGAGCTCCACGTTGGGCATGGAGCCTACTGAAAAAAAGAATTAATAAAAAGTCTCCAAAAAAAAAAAAGAAAGAAAGAAAGGGGCTGAATGCTTTCTAAGGACCCCTTAGTTCAAAAAGCCAAACTTCCGAAGGCCCTGCTCTTTGCCAGTAACTTTGGGGCAATGAGGGTGGAGTGGATACATGTCCGAGAGGTGTGTTTTTTCCAACTCTGATTCTTAAAGCCAAGAATTTCCTGATACACCTTCGCCTCCAAGGAATACCTCATTTTCCAGTTAACCAGTTGGTTTAATTACTGTCTAAAAGAGAAGATATTCTGAGTAGATATTTGGATTTGTGTTTTAATCAATATCCAGGCCTGGCCTTTAGCCATACCACTGATGTGGGTGAGTCTTGATCTCCACTTTAGCCCCAAGACTCTGACTCCCCACAATGGCTCCTGCCTCCTGTCCTTCCCATTCTGACAATACCACCCCCTACTTCCCAGACTTAGGTCTTTCTTTCCACTGCTCCCACAGTCTTCAACAGGCTAGATTACAACTCATTCAAGCAAACCTTTTTATAGCACCATGTCATGCCACCCGTCTTGGGTACTGGGGACACAGCAATGAGTTGACAGAGTACTTGCCCTTAGGAAGCTTGTAAGAAAATTGAGGGGACTCTAAGAAAGGACTAATTCACACTGAAGTGTGAGTGACTGATAATGAGCTTACTAAGGATATTTGCAAATCAAATTGAAAGGATCCTGGATAAGAACTCTTTAATAGCTCCCTGTTGCCCACAGAATCAATTGCCTTACAATGTTACTAGATATGCAGAATTTTTTTCAGTAATTAAAAACAAGTTGGGAAATGCGGGATGAAACAAAGTCAAGCAGGTTCTTTACTCCAGGACAGTTCCAAGTCAGACTGCTCAAGTTCAAATTTTAGGTATACTGCTTACTAGCTATGTGATCTTGGGCAAATTGCTTAGCTTCTCTATAAAATAGGAATACTACAACAGTACCTAGTTGATAGGGTTGTGATGTGGATCAAATATGGTGATGCAAGCTAAGTGCTCAGAGCATTGCCTGGTGCCTTGCAGACACTCACAGGGAGCTACTATTAGTTTTACTATTTAGTTTTACGATACTAATATCTGTTGGAGGAAGTCTCCAAGTGGGGATAAGACTCTCAGCCCTCTTCTGCTGCAGAGATGTCCGTGGGTCTAGTGATTGGGGAACACAACTTTGGAACACTCCAGCCTCCGGGATGAAGTCCTTGCTCCTTAGGGAAGCGTTTGAGGGTCTCAAGGGCTTGCGTTTGCTCACCTCTCCAGCATCCCACCTCCTCCCATTCGACAGACCTGGAGCTTCTCTGACACCACCCACCGCAAGTCCCTTAGCCCCGCACCTCTCTCCGTCCTCCACACCTGCATCCGTGCTGTTTCCTCTGCCTGGAATGTCCTTCCCCCTGACTCCAAAAGCACAGATCCAATGCCCCATCTTCCTTGAAGCCTTCCCCAACTCTCCCAGTTATAGCATTCCTTCTCTTTCTCCTACTCAGGCCTTTCTGTGGTCGCCACCTGTGCATTAACACTGGCTCCCTACTAAGTGGCTCTGACAAGGAAATATTTATGAGAACAGAGTGAAGTAGATTTATTTGCTATTGATTGATGATTCTCCAGCACCAACAGAGGGGTCAACTCAGCCCGGGGAGGCGGGGGTAGGAAGGCTTCCTGGAGGAGGGGTCAGTTAGTCAGAGACCCGAGTAAGCCAGGAGTTAACCCAAGGAAGGGGGTGCTGGTCAAGGGGGAGGCAAGAGGAGAGCCTGTTTTGAAAGAGGCGCCCAGTTCAGAGGTGCAAGAGCTGGTTCTGGAACCCGCCATGGAGCAGTGTGCTGGAGTGGCCCACGGGCCTGGGACCTCACCCCTTCCACCATGTATCAAAATAAGTTTGGGTTGAGCTGTCTGAGCTCCGAGCTGGGTTATGGTGATGACAGCTCTGGGTTCGTTGGCTGCTTTCCAGAGACATACCAGAGGTGCCTTGATCTCCTGCTTGACAAGCCTTCCCAGCCTACTACAGGCTGGGTCCTTCCGGGAAGGTTTTCTGTGGACATCTTACCCATCTTGGTGTGGATTCCTGCTAGTGTGAGTCACTGGGGGGCTGTCCTGACCTCCACTGAGGCTGGTCCTTTCCCATGTTTGCCTCAGACGGGGGTAAAGTGACTCTCGTGGCACCTTCCAGCCCCTCCTGTCCAGACTGTTCATCTATAGAGACTGGGCCTGAACACCCATGAAACCACTTAGCTGCTGTTTGTTGAGTACATACTACGTGCCAGGCTCTGTCAGAGAGCCATGCACCAGAGGGAACCAGTGGGCAATCCAGCCCCTCTACAAACACTCACAGAATCATTCTGGTGCTGGGTTACAGGGTGAGGACACAGATTCTGGATCTGGGCGGTCTGATACAGTAGCACTAGTCACACTATTTACATTCAAATTAATGACAAATCAAGCTTAAAATTCAGTTCTTTGGTTCCAGGAGCCACATTTCCAGGGCTCGATAGCCACATGTGGCTCGCGGCCACCGTGTAGAGCTGCACAGCCACAGAACATTTTCCTTATCACAGAAAGTTCTATCGAACTTTCTACAGTCACAATGAGCCAGATTCCACTCTCAGATCTTTCCTTTGGAAGCTCTGTGACTTTGCCCCAATTAGTAAACCTCTCTGAGCCGCTTTTCCGCTTCCGTAAAAGCCCGTGTTCTTTACACTGCATCATACCCCCATTCATTTGAATACAATAGCTGGAGCAAAATGTAAAGTTACAACCCCCAGCAAGTTCAAATTAAGATTCCGAATTAGGGCTCTTGTTAGCAAATAACAGGAAATTAAATCAAACTGGCTTAGGTAGAAAAGGAATTTATAAGCAGGCTGATGACATAATTTGTGGAACCCAGTGCAAAAGGAACACGTGGAGATTTTTGTTCAAAAAGCAGGGAAAAAGTGCATTAAAGGTCCTAAAATACGAAGCTTTTTTCTTTCTTCCTCAGTCTCTTTCTCAACTTATTATGGTGTTTTTGTTTGCTATTTAATGTCATTCTCAAATAATACAAATTAAAAATTTAGATTATTCACATGAATTTTCCCATTCATCTTTATATTTGCAGTGCCAGGGTTTTTTTTTTTTTAAGATTTATTTATATATTTTAGAGAGAGAGAGCAGGGGCAGAGGGAGAGGAAGAGGACGAGAATCTCAAGCAGACTCGACACTGAGCGCGTCTACAACTGAGTAAGCAGGAGTGTTGTCAGCCATGAGAAACCATGCTTTCCTCAAGCCAGAACTTGCTTTGAACACAGAAAGAAGATGATGGCATTCTAAGAAAGGCAAACGGTCAAGGAACCTTATATCCTTTCTCACCGGTGTAACTTCCCCGTGCTAGCCACCGCCGATACTGAAAATGATATCGAAGAGAAAGGAAAGACAGGGCTACCCATATAGTTCCTCTGCTTTTCATTCCTTCTTTACTCACCAGTAAGCCAAAGGTAGAGAATGTACTGGTAG